CACATTAACACACGGTGACACACACTAACACACTCACACACGGTGACACACACTCATACACGGTGACACACACACACGGTGACACACACACACGGTGACACACACTCGCACACACACGGTGACACACACTCACACACTAACACTCACACACGGTGACACACTCACATACTGTGACACACACACACTCACACATTAACACACACTCACACGGTGACACACACTCACACATTAACACACACTCACATACGGTGACACACACTCACACATTAACACACACTCACACACGGTGACACACACTCACACATTAACACACACTCACACACGGTGACACACACTCACACACACGGTGACACACACTAACACACGTGTGAGACACACTAACACACACGGTGACACACACGGTGAGACACTCACACAAGGTGACACACACTAACATACACGATGACACACACAAAGATAGAGATCCCCCATATAGCCTTAACAGACTGTAGGGGCAAGTGCTGTTACCGCTCACCTATGAAAGGCAGAACGGTACACTAGGGGGTGGGTGGCCAGCACCACGCCCGACCGCCTTTGTCTCTCTAGTGGCAATGTTTACACACCGCACCAGGTACTCATTTGAGGCTGAGTCGACCTAGGGGAGGCCCAGGACCGGTTCAGATAATCATCACTGGTGTTGGCCGTGAGCGAGAATCGAACCCGGATCGCCAGGTTCATAGCGCAGCGCGCTAACCGCTACACTATCGCTCCCCACCGTACACGGTGAGACACTCACACACTAACACACAACAACAACCGCCATTCGCCACTAAGTGGCGGTGACGTCACCACGACGCCTGTGCCAGGCTATGTGCACCCTGAGGCCACGTGAAGTGTCGAACGCCCGCTGGCAGGTCACGGGGCAGACCCAGGTGCCACGGGTGACACACACACTAACACACACTCACACACGGTGACACACACTCACACACACTCACACACGGTGACACACACTCACACACACTAACACACACACACGGTGACACACACTCACACACACTAACACACACTAACACACACTCACACACGGTGACACACACGGTGACACACACACACTCTAACACACACTCACACACGGTGACACACACTCCCACACGACCACCCACTACCACCGCCTCCTGGACTCACCACCTCTGCCCACACGCGCACCCTCACTTCGCGGTCGCCCCAGTATTGTTAGAGAGCGCCTACTGAATGTACTGTGTGTACGTTGAACTTCTTTCACACCGTACGTAGCCAACCGTGCTAACGGGAGGTGCGGGGGAAGGTCAACCAACTAAACACCGCAACGCCACCACTATTGTCACAACCACACAAACCGGCACGCACCGACGGCCTGCAACGCAAAGCAGACATAGGCACTCAGGAAAACACACGAACACAGACACCCAGGGACACAGGCACTCAGGGACACACACGAACACAGACACCCAGGGTCACAGGCACTCAGGGACACACACGAACAGACACAGGGACACACACAAACACAGACACCCAGGGTCACACACGAACACAGACACACAGGGACACACACGAACACAGACACCCAGGGTCACAGGCACTCAGGGACACACACGAACAGACACCCAGGGTCACAGGCACTCAGGGACACACACGAACATAGACACAAAGGGACACACACGAACACAGACACCCAGGGTCACAGGCACTCAGGGACACACACGAATACAAACACCCAGGGGCACACACGAACACAGACACCCAGGGACACAGGCACTCAGGGACACACACGAACACAGGACACAGGCACTCAGGGAAACACACGAACACAGATACCCAGGGACACAGGCACTCAGGGACACACACGAACACTGACACCCAGGGACACAGGCACTCAGGGACACACACTAACACAGACACCCAGGGACACAGGCACTCAGGGACACACACGAACAGACACCCAGGGTCACAGGCACTCAGGGACACACACGAACATAGACACAAAGGGACACACACGAACACAGACACCCAGGGTCACAGGCACTCAGGGACACACACGAATACAAACACCCAGGGGCACACACGAACACAGACACCCAGGGACACAGGCACTCAGGGACACACACGAACACAGGACACAGGCACTCAGGGAAACACACGAACACAGATACCCAGGGACACAGGCACTCAGGGACACACACGAACACTGACACCCAGGGACACAGGCACTCAGGGACACACACTAACACAGACACCCAGGGACACAGGCACTCATGGACACAACCGAACACAGACACTCAGGGACACACACGAACACAGACACCCAGGGACACAGGCACTCAGGGACACACACGAATACAAACACCCAGGGACACAGGCACTCAGGGACACACACGAACAGACACCCAGGGACACAGGCAGCACTTCAATATTCAGGCAACCTTGATACTCAGGGACACAGAATCTCAGATGTTCAGGGGCTCGGGTATTCAGATACTCAGACACACAGGGGCTGACTTACTCAGGGACACTAGGACACCGGAACACTGGGACACTGAGACACTGGGACACACTAGGACACTGGGACACACTCGGACACTGGGACTCTGGGACACTGAGACACACTAGGACACTGGGACACACTCGGACACTGGGACTCTGAGACACTGGGACACACTAGGACACCGAGACACTCGGACACACTAGGACACTGGGACACACTAGGACACTGGGACTCTGAGACACACTGAGACACACTGGGACACACTAGGACACTGGGACTCTGAGACACACTGAGACACACAGAGACACACTGGGATACTAGGGCACTGGGACACACTGGGACACTGGGACACACTAGGACACTGAGATACTGGGACACACTAGGACACTGAGACACACTAGGACACTGAGCCACACTGGGACACACTGGGACACACTGGGACACACTAGGACACTGGGACACACTAGGACACTGGGATACACTAGGACACTGGGACACACTGGGATACTCAGGAACTCGGGTACACAGGCACTGGGACACACTGGGACACTGGGACACACTAGGACACTGGGACACACTAGGACACTAGGACACTGGGACACACTGGGATACTCAGGAACTCGGGTACACAGGCACTGGGACACACTGGGACACTGGGACACACTAGGACACTGGGACACACTAGGACACTAGGACACTGGGACACACTGGGACACACTGGGACAGACTAGGACACTGGGACACACTGGGACACACTAGGACACTGGGACACACTAGGACACTGGGACACTGGGACACACTGGGACACACTAGGACACTGGGACACACTGGGACACACTGAGACACTGAGACACTGAGACACACTGAGACACACTGAGACACACTTGAGACACACTAGGACACTGGGACACACTGGCACACACTGGGACACTGAGACACTGAGACACACTGAGACACACTAGGATACTGGGACACTGGGACACACTGGGACACACTAGGACACTAGGACACTGGGACACACTGGGACACACTAGGACACTGGGACACACTGGGACACTGAGACACACTAGTATACTGAGACACACTGAGACACACTAGGATACTGGGACACACTGGGACACACTAGGACACTGGGACACACTGGGACACACTAGGACACTGGGACACACTGGGACACTGAGACACTGAGACACACTGAGACACACTAGGATACTGGGACACTGGGACACACTGGGACACTGAGACACACTGAGACACACTAGGACACTGGGACACACTAGGACACTGGGACACACTGGGACACTGAGACACTGAGACACACTGAGACACACTAGGATACTGAGACACACTGAGACACACTAGGATACTGGGACACACTGGGACACACTTGGACACTAGGACACTGGGACACACTGGGACACACTAGGACACTGGGACACACTGGGACACTGAGACACTGAGACACACTGAGACACACTAGGATACTGGGACACTGGGACACACTGGGACACTGAGACACACTGAGACACACTAGGACACTGGGACACACTGGGACACACTGAGACACACTGAGACATACTAGGATACTGGGACACTGGGACACCGATTCCCGAGCGCGGCCTCTGGACGCGCCCCGCCCCGCCGCTGCCGCCCGGCCCCCTTGGACCCCGACCCCTCCGGACCCTGCCCAGGGGAGGGACCTCGCCTCCCCGTTTCCTTCCCGGGTCTCCCTCGCAAGGCAGAGGCCGGCGTCTCGATGGGCTCCCACCTGCGTATACCTCGCGCCCCCTAGCCCATGTCCCCTCACCCGTGCCGTGTCCCCATCCTCAAGGGCCTGGCCGCCCCTACCCCATGCCCCCTGAACAGTGCTGCGCTCCCACGGACGGCCCCGAGCCGTGTCCCGCGCCCAATGCTCCCAGACTCGGGCTGTCCAACGCGCCCCGATTCCCGTGAGTCCAAGCTGCCATGCCCCTCGTCCGCATTTCCCACATGCTCCCGCCCCAAGATTTAAATTGCCCCGTGCCCTCACCCCCAATGTTCACATCCCCAAGTCCATTCCCCTAACCCCATGCCTGATGGATCTGGCCCGGGCCCACCGACTCCCATCGTACGCTCCCTGTACCTCACCGTGCCTTGCCCCCCATTCGTGCGGTGCCCATTGCCTGACTCGTGCCCTGGCATCTTCGTGCGCCCCTCCAACCCCTTGACCCCACGGCCTTGGGCCTCGTGCCCCGAGAACAAACTCCCCATGCGGGATGACGCTCCGATCCCAGGGCACGTCCCCCTCCCATGCCCCTTCGCCTGAGCCGTGCACCACGGTCACACTCGGCGTGCCCTCCCACGCTCTGTGCACTGTTACCCCCTCGCATGCCGTGCGCCCCCCCCCCCCAAACCTTGCCCTGAAACCCATGCTCGACGTCCGCTGTGGCTTCGTGCCCACTGCAGGCACCTCTAGCCGTGGATCTCGCCCGTGCGTGCCCCCCGCGTGCTCCCGTACCGTCGAGCGCCGCCTCCCTGTCGCTGATGTGCTGGAGGTGGACGGCGGCGCCTCCGTCGCGCTCGTCGTCAGCGTGCGCCGCGCGGTACGGCTCGGCGTGGTTGCGGGACGGGCCCGGGCTGCCGGGCGCCGCCACGCAGCACGACGCTCGGTTCCCCATGGCCGCCGCCGGCCGCTGCTGTTCGCTCCTTCTCGCTCACGCTGCCGCCCGCCCGCCTAAACCCCGCACCACCGCCGCCATGCGCCGCCGCCGCCGCTGCTGCTGCCTCCTCCTCGCCCTCGGCTCGAGTCGCGATCTCCACCCCCCACCACCACCACGCCGCCGCCGCCGCCGCTCTCCTTCCCGGGCTCCGCCGCGACCACGAGACGCCCTCGCACCCCCCCGCCCCGTGACCGCGCAGTTGGTACAGCCCGGCGGGACCGTGACGTCACGTGCACGTGTAACACGACCGGCCATCTTACTCGGGGACACCGCCTCTGGTAGCGGTGTTCAGCGCAAATCCGAATGTGCCGATGAGACGCCGAATATGGAAACCTGGCCAGAGTTTGCGTGTGGTGTACGCGTATTGCTTGTTTTTGGCTCGTTTTCGCACTTTCCCACCCTCCATTGTCCCGCCACGCTCGCCCCTTGTCCCAGAGCGGCTCGGTTCAACGGGGCCTCCCCAGCTGAAATAATAAACTCGCGAGTAATTAAATCGATGCTGCTCATAAAAAAAAACTCAGAAAGCCGTGTGGCTGATGGATGTGTAAAAATAATCTATACCTGTGTATTTTCGTGCGATGTGGCAGATAGGAATGAGGCGAGTTGCCTGTCACGAGTGGCGGATTTCGCTCCGCGGCCCCCCCCCCATCCCTCATCACTTGCCCAGGACGGGCACGCTGGCCAAAGACGCCACGCGGTCAACATCAATCAACACTATCCAAGGTGTCATGGATTAAGAGTTGATGTTTCATTGAGTTAGGTCGTAAGAACGTAGACAAAAGAGACGATGGGAACGAATTATAAAGTGGAGCCGTGCAAGGAAAGCGGCAGGGAAGTGTTGCTTTCCCTGTTTGTTGAACGCAACATTTGCTCATCCCACTGCTGGAAGGTCCTCAGCACGCCGAAAACGTGGTACTGCATATCAATATCATAAACGATGTAAGCTGTTAAATTCACGGAGTGTGAGAGCAAGGCGTGCTGTATAATATCCCGTGGGCGGAGTGATCGCGTTGCAGGTCCTGTTGCCGCGGCTCTCTGTGTGTGTGCAGTGGCTGGCGCGTGGGTGGAAGGGCTTTGTAAAATAAAGAACGCAGTCTGGGCAAAACGCAATGCAGGAGTACTGTTGAACTTTAATATTTGAATGATCCGTCAACCGCTGTAATCGCAGCAAGATCAGGGCCACAGAGAAGTTGAACCAGTTGGAACAAAATGTACAGACCGACTATAAAATGTCTGTACATCAAGTAGACCTCAATCGTGGAATGCTGTCTCAATCTTTAATCTATTAAAAAATGATGATTGAACCGACTTGAACTACAGGCCCATCAGCCTCTACGCCCACGCACAAATGGTTCGCAAAGATCACTGAGAAGAAAGATGTAAAGGGAAACCAGTCAGGGGAGTAAGCCAGGCTTAGCAAAAGGTTTCTCTACCATTCATATACAGGACAATCAATTAGATTCCGATAAAGACTAAGGATAACAGACACTATTGTTGTATTTAACCTCAGTAGACTGAAAATTAACCTCTACACCTGTACAAATACTGGTCTTGCCCATAATGGGTTATCATCCGTGTTATTGAGCCCAATGTTCCCTGGGCATGCCTCCTGCGATGAGAACTGCAGTGGTGACATTTATTTGTCTGAATTAGAGGGAAGGAGCAAGTTGGACCAAAGGTCGCGTGAATCACTCTTAAAAAAGCAAACAAGACGGGATCAATGTCACAGTAGACCCATGATGAGAATTCAGGAAACTTTACAGACTTTGCACTCAAAGAAATCCCTTTACTTCAAGCTTTCACACACAAATGTAACTCCTGTGCAAAACTTTGCAATTGTTATTGCTCATTTATTGAATTTGGCATTTATCACGTAAAAGCTAGGGATGTAATGTCAAGCAATTCTATCCAGACTCCTCAAGCCTGCTTAGTTCCCGAGGTCCGACATGGCCGGACACATTCAGGGGGAACGTGGGTGTAGGGTACAGTGTGGAGAGCCGGCAGGGCCCCGTCGTGCCCTGCGAGTCTCACAGCTGCGTCGGTGCCATATACGATTTCCAGTTGATAACGCGAGCGATGGACCTTTCTTCAGCTTACACAGTCTCAGCTCTGTAGGAGCTTGGGTTTGAGAGTTGAACAATCATAGAGATCGTGGAGCTCAAAGCCATCTGTGCTGGAGACTCCCAACCTCAGTTCAAGACCACGCTTCTGCTTTGTTGCCCGACTCTTCACTTCAAATAGTGTGTAAATATATACATAATAAACAATTTACAACTCTTTTTAATCCACTCTGAATGAAGACCTCCCCATGTCGTGTCAATCTTGGATGGTGTTTATCCATACTTCACCACGATTGTCAGTGTAGGTTGGCAAAGAGTTGGGGGCCAGGACCGGTTCAGACAACATTTGCCACTGATGTTAACCACGGCTGAGAAACAAACTCTGGTCGCTAGGTTCACAGCGTGGTACACGAACCACTGCATCACCGCTCCACCCCACCATACATTACATACACACCTCCTTCTTTGTAACACGCATCCTAATAGATTGCTGAAATGCAGTTGCACTTTTAAGACGCTTCACAAACTCGAACAGTTTTTATTGGCCGTGTGGCCGCGTGGATCTCACAGTTCCTCGTGCTCCAGCTCTGCCAGCAGGGCCCTGTACGTGCGCGCAAGCTCCCCGGCACTGGGCCTGAGCGCCGGCTCGCGCTCCTTGCAGCGGCCGTGTACTCCGAAGAGATGGAAGCGAGCGACGTCGCTGCCCCGCGCAGCACCCAGCAGGAAATCCGTAACGTCGGGCACCTTCCACACGTCGCTCTTCTCGTCGTAGCCCGGCATGGCGCTCTCGTCGAAGGGCCGATCGTCGTAGGGCCACCGCTGCTCGGGCGCCACGAATTCCCCGTCGAGCTGACGGTGGCCGCACGTGGCGAGCCGGCCGGCGCCACGGTCGACCTGCGGCAACGCGTCCAGGTCGCTGGCCACGGCGCGCAGCTCCGACGTGAGCAGGAACTGCGACAGTGTCTTGGCCAGGTCGTTGGAGTCGCACATAACGCGCGTGCCCAGCGGGCTCTCGTGCAGAAATGCCAACGCCTCCACGTAGCTCATCGCCACCTGCAATGACATTCGCGGATTCAGGCCGATTTACACTCGGCGATTTCACGGATTGTGATTTTATTACTTTTTGTCTTTTACCATTTTGTTCTTGTGTGTAAAGGATTGACAATGGACTGCAGAGTTCTCTGAACTCATTCAGGGTGCTCCCTTCACATGGCGCGGAACATCGGACACCGTGCAGAGCAACGTCTGGTACAACCCAAAAACACATCGGAGGAGACACGCTTTACGCTTTGTCAAGTCATTACGAGTCAACCGTGGATGACGCTCGGTGCGAGAATCTACAACCTCCATGCGCGTCCTCCAGCCGTGTCCCTGGAGCACGCGCTCGGCCGTGTGGAGCGCCCCCAGCGCGTGGTGTTCCGCCACAAAGGCGTCGTCCTCCTCGCACACCCCCACCAGCTGCACCACGTGAGGGCCCTGCAGCCCGCGCAGCATGGCCACACCGTGCCGCATGTCGGCGCGGTAGCGTGGGTCCCGGAGTCGAGCCAGCGCCACGGTGAGGCCGCGCCACTCCGCCAGGTGAACCTGACGCGGTGAACACGCCCGTACCAGGCACCATTACGGACGCAACTCACCGGGCACGCGTCCTGAAAACTCCCAATGCGAGCGAAACCAGCCCGAGGCTGGCAGATGCCGGTGGGATACAGCAAGGTGGGAAACCTGCCGGATGAGTTGTTTTCTGTCTCAACACATTTTGCTTCGAATGTAATAATTAACTAGGAAAATAATCATAGGTTTTACCCTTTCTGGCAATAAAACAGGTGTTAAGATGTTCAAACACCAGATACACTTTGCAAGGCAATACTTAACTACTGCATTGTTACCTATATTATTTTGTATCCAGGAAATCCACAAGGAGTCATACGACTCTTTTTCAGCAGGGTCCTGCATTGGGTTTTTATTTAAAGATGTGTTCAGCCAATGAATGATGAGTTGTGTTAATTATACACGTGGGAGAAAACTGGAGCACCTGGAGAAAACCCACGCGTGCGAGAGACCAACACGGATAGGTAATCTATAGTATCAACTATAGTGTCACGTGAACTATAGTACTACTAAACATACACAGGCATTGTGTCAATCCACTGTGAGATGAGGGCTCCTCAAGCCGTGCGGGTCGTGCGTGGGAATACTGAACCATACTTCACCACGCTGGTAGCAGTGCGTGCTCGTGAAGGCGGGGAGACAGACGTGGGAGCACATCACAGTGAAACAATGAATGTTTCAGCACAGTGAAACAATGAATGTTTCAGCACAGTGAAACAATGAATGTTTCAGCACAGTGAAACAATGAATGTTTCAGCACAGTGAAACAATGTTTCAGCACAGTGAAACAATGAATGTTTCAGCACAGTGAAACAATGAATGTTTCAGCACAGTGAAACAATGAATGTTTCAGCACAGTGAAAAAATGAATGTTTCAGCACAGTGAAAAAATGAATGTTTCAGCACAGTGAAACAATGACTGTTTCAGCACAGTGAAACAATGAATGTTTCAGCACAGTGAAACAATGAATGTTTCAGCACAGTGAAACAATGAATGTTTCAGCACAGTGAAACAATGAATGTTTCAGCACAGTGAAACAATGAATGTTTCAGCACAGTGAAAAAATGAATGTTTCAGCACAGTGAAAAAATGAATGTTTCAGCACAGTGAAACAATGAATGTTTCAGCACAGTGAAACAATGAATGTTTCAGCACAGTGAAACAATGAATGTTTCAGCACAGTGAAACAATGAATGTTTCAGCACAGTGAAACAATGTTTCAGCACAGTGAAACAATGTTTCAGCACAGTGAAACAATGAATGTTTCAGCACAGTGAAACAATGAATGTTTCAGCACAGTGAAACAATGAATGTTTCAGCACAGTGAAACAATGAATGTTTCAGCACAGTGAAAAAATGAATGTTTCATCACAGTGAAAAAATGAATGTTTCAGCACAGTGAAACAATGACTGTTTCAGCACAGTGAAACAATGAATGTTTCAGCACAGTGAAACAATGAATGTTTCAGCACAGTGAAACAATGAATGTTTCAGCACAGTGAAACAATGAATGTTTCAGCACAGTGAAACAATGAATGTTTCAGCACAGTGAAAAAATGAATGTTTCAGCACAGTGAAAAAATGAATGTTTCAGCACAGTGAAACAATGAATGTTTCAGCACAGTGAAACAATGAATGTTTCAGCACAGTGAAACAATGAATGTTTCAGCACAGTGAAACAATGAATGTTTCAGCACAGTGAAAAAATGAATGTTTCAGCACAGTGAAACAATGAATGTTTCAGCACAGTGAAACAATGAATGTTTCAGCACAGTGAAACAATGAATGTTTCAGCACAGTGAAACAATGAATGTTTCAGCACAGTGAAAAAACGAATGTTTCAGCACAGTGAAACAACGAATGTTTCAGCACAGTGAAACAACGAATGTTTCAGCACAGTGAAACAACGAATGTTTCAGCACAGTGAAACAACGAATGTTTCAGCACAGTGAAACAATGAATGTTTCAGCACAGTGAAACAATGAATGTTTCAGCACTGCCCTCTGCTGTCCTCAACGTAGCTTTGCGGGCACTGGGACATGGACAAGGGTACCACCAACCCAACTATCTTCTTCATCTCTGTCTGGCGACAGCTTTACACTGACGACGCCTTCTGCACTGGCGGTTTGGGGCTCGGAACGCCAGCATTGGTACAGGGTCAGGTTGGAGCAAGCTGCAGGGTTAATAATACGAGTAGGGGATAGCGCGAGAGGTAGGTATATGAGTATTCAGGTAGGATTAGGGATAGCGCCAAGCTTTGGGGTGGGGTTTAGGATCGGGGCATGGTGAGAGCACGTTCTGGGTATATGGTAGAGTATAGAGACGCAGTGTCATGGTTAAGGATAGGGACAGGGTTAGAGAGATAGCGGCGGGGTTGGGGCACCTGCTTCACGGCGCCCTGCCCCAGGAGCCCACGGGGCCGCACCGCGCCCCGCATCTCCGTGCAGCCCAGCAGCGGCTCGCAGCGCGCCATGCCGGGCAGCCTGAACGCGCCGCGGGGGCAGCCGGCGGCTCCTGCTGTGCGCGGCGTCTCCTGCTCCCCACGCTCCGTGGCGCTCAACGCGAGCAGCAGCAGCAGCAACCGCGCCGCTCCCATAGCGACGCGGCGACTCGGTACCGCGCGTCCCAGCGTGAAGCAGCTTCCACCATGTTAGGTGGGGAACGGAGGCCCCCACAGAGCCGGCGTAGCACCCACGTGATGTCCCTATCACGGCGCCCTTCCCTACGTAAGATGGCCACTGGCGAAGAAAACGGGAACCAATCAGAACCTTACTTTGTGAAAGGACCCCTCGGCCTGATGGGCGTCCCGCGCGATGCCTGCGAGTCAACGTGACGTCACAACACAAGACTCATTCCTCTTTTAATATAGATTTTAATCCAAATGTTCTTTCATTAATTTTTAATCTCCAAGTCAATCTGATTTAAAATTCACCGTTCGGGCTACTCCATGTTCATTTCCTAGATTTATTTTTAATACAAAATGTTTTTTATTCATATTTGCTGGCTGTGAATTCACTCAACTCTAACGCCTACCTACCATCTCATTTATCCACCTCTTACCTACCTTTGCTGGCGTGGGGTGCTTTATCCTCGACTAAACTTTGGTTCATGACAGCACGAAGGTTTTTTCAGCCAATATTTGTTTCTAGTCTTCCACGATGCGAGGGCTAGCCGCGAGATGGACTACTCAACGTCACAGCGATTCATCTGCGGAAGTTATTGCGAAGCTCTTCCATAGTGCGCCCTGTCCAAGCAACAGCACCACTAATGCCAGTTCTTCTGGGCCAGCCGCTTGGACCAAGCCTCGAGTTACCTTCTCCACGTAGTCTCCGGGCTTCCGCAGGACGCATCCCAGATGATCTCTCTCCATCGAATCGAGGAACCTGCTCTTGGAAGCCCATTTCATCGAGGGTCGATTTATTTATCCGGCGGGGGCTGTCCAGGGGATCCTCAGTGTGCGGCGGAGCCCTTTTATCTCAAAGGCCTCGATCCTCCTTTGTTCATCGTCCCCGTGCAACCCCCAACCGCGAGGTCAGTACAAAGCTATGGGCCACACAAGCGCTTCCCACTGGTGAATCTCGGCTGGCAGTGCGACGTTTCGTCCTGGCTAGATTGGATCGAGAGACGCCGTGACAGCCGTATCCAGGGTGAGCCGTCTCCAGACTTCTTAAGGATCGCAACAGGTATATGGGGTAGGTGGATGGAGAGGGAAGGGATGCACGTGGAGCATAAGGTCACAGAGCCCAGGTACATGGTTTGGAACCAGGCCACTGCTAGTCCCGGTGTGAGTGGTCATGGAAACCAGGTCTTGGCGCCTCTCCAGCTCCTATCCCTAATAGAGTTGTGTCCATCTTAGTGGATAACCCCCATTTTACTCCTATCTCCGAGCAGACAATACAATGTTTTACTTTCTCTACGTGAGAAAGTGCTTCTTAACCACCCTATGGTCTTCATTATATAACCTATCAATAGCAATCGCCATCTGCTTGCACTCTTCATCCCAAACTGGTTCCTTTCGTCTTTGTGCATCCCTCCACAGCCGGCGTTACTTCGAGAAAACCTTTCGAGATCCGAGCCGCGTTGCTTCCGAGTGATGCACGCAGCCGTGCTCATATTTGAATGCTTTTATTGTAAAAAGTGAGAGTTCCCGATTCCACGCAGAGCTCCGGCCACGCCGACGCTGGCCGGAGCTCGCGCTAGCCCACGCGTCGCCCCCTCGCGCGGACGCCGGAACTCAGACCCGAGCCGCCGCTCAAGCAGGTACTCTAGTTATCTACAAGCTAGAACAGAAAACCAGGAACGCAACGCGCTTTAGAAAATCTAATCATCGGAGCCAAGCCTGGACCGCGCTCACGATGGGAAGCCAACGGATGGTTCCACTGCTCCGCCATGCGACACCTCGCCCGCCTCCTCCTCCGCCACCCCGATTCTCCCCCAGCAAACGCGGGCGAGGGTTGGCTCCTAACGGTAACTCACAAACGCTCACTGTCAACAAACGGCACTAACGAGGAACGCGAAACCTTACACGGATATGCCGACGATGGAGAGGGTTAAACCGACTGAAGTCACATTCCGATAAACACGAGCAAAACCATGGAGTTAAAAGCCCAAGGTGTGAGGAGGAAGCCCCGGCGTTGAGGCAGCGACGGTCGCTGTTCGCCCCGTGCTCTACCGGCGGTAAAAGTCATATCCGTTGTACCTGCAACACACACGCACAAATAAACACACCCAAAGATTCCCTTGTAGCCTCAGAGAGACTGTTGGGGGCAAATGCTAAGAGGGAGCACCTCAGACAGAGTAATTCCATACAGGATGATGTTTGAGTTAGGTATTTTCTACATGAACACTCCTATGCCGATGCATCCATTAGGTTTACCAAATAAAACAAAGATCCACATCTATATTTATGTATACCCTTTGGTTCTTTCGGTAAAGTCACGTAGTTATAAAATAATTTTATACTTTACCGAAAGAACCAAAGAGTATTGATTCCTGCAGTCACGAAAGCTTCAAATCAAGATTATATTTATATAATTTGCATACATCCGTCTGTCACAGTCTGGATCCCCCACACGGTACGTGGGAGGAAAAGATGCATAAAGCCAGCACATTCTGATGCCGAGAATATTCCTGGGAAAATGTGCAAGAGGTGCGTGATTATACATGAAATGTTAACATTGTTTTATTTTTTAAATGAATGTGCTGAAACAGGCAAACCATGATTATTCAATGCTTCCCCCCCCCCCACCCTTGCGCTTAAGCAAAGTTGGAAGGGTCTAGAATTCGGAGTGCCCTCGTTATTGTTCCAGCTTCCATCGCACGCACCATGTTCGTGGTTACGGTTGCAATGCTTTGGGATGTGGTTATATTTTTCCTGTTGTGGTTGTGCCTATACTGTGGTTGTGGTTATAATGGTTGTGGTTTCAGTTATGTCGTTAAAAAGTGGTCATGTGGATATGCATTGTCATAATGTGGCTGCTGTGGTTATATTGTAGTAGTTATTGTGGTTATGGTAATGTGGTTTAAGTTGAGGTTATGTGGTGGTTATGGTTATATTGCGGATGCTGTTATGTCGTTTTAGTTTGGGTTAAAATGTGAATGTTATATTTGTGGTCATGATTGTGGTTATATTGTGCCTTCAAGTTAAGTAGACCTAGAGAAGGTCCAGGACAAGTTCTAATGCCACTTGCCACCGATGCGAGTTAGCCATAGCGAGAGATCAAAGTTCAGTGTTAGGATTCAAAGAAAACCACTGTCCGTATATGTGTATAGACACACACACACACGGATTCAGACACGCACACACGGATTCACACACACACAAAGTCACACACGATCGATGTACATACACACAAGCCCACACAAGTGCACACGTGGAAACAAGAATTAGGGACAGTACAAGAAGACCATTACCACTCCCGATGACACTTGTCACACGGAGGCCTGTCACCAGTCGCCCACAAGCCAGTTACACAGCAGTGCACACTCCCACAAAAATCATCACTCGTGGTACAGCGTAACACCGCAAACTGGCATTCATTAAAGATCAACCTTCAACACTACGACCATTAAGATGTCTGGGTGCCTTTGGGTTTCAGAGAAATTAGATGGTTCTACGGAGATCCTAGGTTCAAACCCAGATTGGAACCACTGTGATGAAACTAGGTTCTCAAGTATATCGAGTTGTCTCATCCTAGCTTGACTGCTCTGGGACCAGCAGGATATACACCCCCTGGTGTGTGGATAAAGAGGTCACGTGGAGGGATCTCAGATGTAGTTCTGTGACACCTCCTTCCAAGGGCTGCTCTCTAACATGGAGTGATTCTCTGTTGTGCGATAGCTCCGGAGACAATTCACCACATGGCAGGATTCCAATAGCAGAACTGGACTCAAGGGAGGAGGGGGGAAGACAAAGAATATATATTTTAAAAACACCTCGAGAACCATGGCTTCCGGCCGAATACCTGGCCTCACTCACACGGGCCCTGGCTTCGTGCCGCATCAGCCAAACGGAGCCACCACTCGAGAAACACTAAGCGACAAAGTCGGCGCGTACAGTAGCGCGGTGCTATTTATATCGCCCATCACCAGAGCTGGCCACACGGGTCGTTAGGTGCCCATGACGCCGGGCAACGTCTCTCAGTACGCCAGCTGACTAGCACCCCCATCTGTCTTGTGACGATGCAAAAAAAAGTCTACCGTATGCTGGCTTTAACTTTATCGTGGTTCATCAGCAGGGTGTGGCCCTTTACACTACTGCCATAGACGATGCCCAGGTTGTTGTGAGATCATCACAGCTGCCCATGGGCTGTCATCCTGTGAGCTAACACGAGTCCCTGTGTTCCATGCAGTGAGGGCACCACAAAGGAAACTACGTTCACACACGTAGGTCATGCAGTAGACTACTCTGCTGGGCAGACAGGATCATTCATGTTGACCCTATCGATTTAAGGGACCTGCTGCCCATTTCTAAACCCCCTTCACAACACATTATCCAAAATACCTCTCTGGCGCAAATTCAGTTTTAAAATGCGGTACGCGGGCGACGGGTTTAAAACCGGCAGCCTGCAGATTAAACCGGTCGGGATGGCAGAGTATGTCCGCCGCAACTTGACTTCTGAGACAATAGGCGCCCCCCCCCCCCACCGTGTTCGATGTATAGCGGGTTAAGGCCCTACACGTGAAGCCATGCGCTCACACACACACACGTGTGCCGTGCAGCAGAGGGGGCTCTCTGTCGAGTGGGGGGAGTTTGGCAAGAGGCACAGTTCCACGAGCCTGCGAGTGGCCTCTCGGCCCATCCAGAGAATCATTATGCAAACGTCACGCCGTGTTGCGCAATCCCCCCCCCTCACTCCGTGCAGCGAGAGGCCGTTGCTAAAGGGGACTCCGCTCTGGTGAGCCGTGGCGCTCGCTGCTCCGCTGGCCCCGGGGTCACGAAAGCGGGGAGCTACGCACCATCACGGGACACCCCGCAACAACGCCCCGCCAGGGACAGCCACCCAACAGCACCGTCGACAGTGGATCACCGCTAAAGCAGAGCTGTCGGGCACGGTGCCACTGAGATCCTGGGTTAACATTGTGGGCTGCCACCGGGGATGAGATAGGTTCTTAAAGAGTCGAGAGTCCGCGGGGCCTCTGCCAAATCGCACATGTTGGGCGTGTAACAAAGCATCGATTCGTCAATTAACATTTCCTCCGCTTCCAATACATGCATCGAATTCCGTGTGAAAATCGAGAACTGACGATTATGTGAACTATGCAAATAATTTTGCTAAACTGAGGCTTATGGAGAAGAGATGTGCACGAGACTGCAAAGAGAGAAGATCCAAAATAAAGAATCGATGGTTGGATCGTGCAAATAGATCAAATTACGTGACTAATAACTGGGTACAAGCCAAGCGCGGAGCGATGCATCTCAATCGGCAATAGATGGGGCACACAGATGTGAGACGCAAGGAGAACCGTTGTGGTCTTCTATTTCTAGTCCAGAGACAACACGCCCGTCCACACGGGGCCCGACGACAGCTCGAGGAGGGGGGTTGGCTTTGGGCAGTGCCAGCTCGACACGTGGTTCCGCTCTTGCGAATACTGCTAAGGGGTCTTTAACGTCAGAGTTCGTCTTGTCGGACCCTACACTGCCGTGCGCTGCCAAACCCCCACACCCATAAATTGTCCTGGTCCCGTGTAGCGATGGGGGTGGAAGGCGCACGTCATACCATCTGTGCCGTACTCTGCCTTGGCGATTCAAATTCCGATTGGATGGCCGTTGTGGGAATGGGACCGTGGTCCCTGCGAGACAGGCGACGGCACGGCCACTGCACGCCCCTCCTGGGAGTGAATGGGGTCCCATGACACAGGAGAGGAGGGCCTTTTACAGCAGCGGAGGTGAAACGCTGAGCCCGCTTCTGTGGAAGCCCTGACGTGTAACTCAATACGGACAGCTGGTCCGCGCAATGAACCGCACCGCCCAATCGAGCCACATCACTCGGCCACCACTCGCAAGCCACACCATTTTGGAATGATTGAGAAGGCCGTGGAGCCGAGCGGACTTTCCGACGGCCGGTACCAGCGGCGTTAAAATGGGCCTCAGTGGAGGAGGTTCGTTAAGGACGCTACTGGGCAGTCACTCTTCAACACCGGAGGGCAGAGCAGCAACACAACGAACGGAGCAAATGGGCGGCTAAAACGCAGCAAGTTGGCACAATGAGAAGCACAAGTAGTGCATTTGCGAGTAATCTCCGTCAACACACAACACACCGAGCATTCACGACCACAAGGTTAGAACTCCATCCAGTCACACCACCTCACCAAACCACTGTCACAACACACGCCACCTGGCTACACAGCTACAGTCATCACCTCAAACCCCATAACGCAAGAGTTGGCCATTACAATGTGCCGTCATGGTAGTGTTGGTGATTGAAGAGTGATGCAGGGGTGAGGTGATGAGGACGAGGGGTGGGTGATGTTGCCCCTGTTCTCCAGGTCCCCATACCCTGCAAGTGTAGAGGTTGTATAAACACTTAAAACTGATCTAGTCCCCTACGTAGCGCTGATACAAGTCACACCGTGGATAATGAGTAAAAAAACCCAGCTACAAGCCTCTCGTGGGCTTACAAGTCCCGTGTTGATCCCTTGGTCTCTCGGGAGTCCTCGGGTCTCCTACCATCCAAACCACCTACTCAGCAAGTATCCAACTACCTAGGCCTTCCATCTCCCAAGGGCCTTAACCTGGGCTTAAGCAGGTCTCCTCCCCCCATGGTTCTTACTGCCAGGGTAATGTTACCATCCAGGCCACGTCTTTATCCTGTCGTCTGCCTTCATAAGTCTCCTCAAAGCACACTGTCGCCTACCCTTAAATCTCCCTCCCACATCCGTGCTGCCGGACCCACTGTGGGCCCACTGCCCCCACTGTGGGCCCACTGCCCCCGTACCCGTAGGTGGTGGAGGCGGTTGGAGGCGGCGCGGCCCCGCGCCTCGCGAACTCCAACTCCGCGGGCCCGCCCGGCGCGGGGAACACGGGCGCCGCGGGCCCCGCCGCGTAGGGCCTCGCCCGGAATCGCTCGTACAGATCCACGAAGCCGAAGCGGTCCCGCTGCTGCTGCTGTTGTTGCTGCTGGTCCCCGGCGCCCCCGTACCCCCCGTAGGCGTCGTATGCGGCGCCGAGTGCGGCGGGGTGCGGGGCCGTGGCGAACGAGGCGGCCTGGGCCTGGTAGGCGCCCCCGTAGAGGCCTCCTCCTCCGGCACCGGCTCCCCCGGCCGCTCCCCCAGCCGCGGCGGCGGCGGCTGCCGCTGCAGCTGCGGCCATGGGACCCCCGTTGCGGTACCGCTCCACTCCGACCACGCCGAGGCCCCCGGCGCCCCCAGGCATCGCGCCGAGGCCGCCGAGGCCACTTCGGCCGGCGGCGGCGGCCGCGGCCGCGGCTGCGGCCGCAGCCGCCGCCGGGTTGGGTACCCCCGTGGGGACCCCGGTGGGTACCCCCGTGGGGACTCCTCCGAGGGCCCAGGCGGCGCGGCTGCTGTCTGTGGGGCAATCCTTGGACCAGTGTCCGCGCTCCCCGCAGCGGAAGCAGTTGGCCGAGCCGCCCATGCCGGGCGCGACGCGGAGTTTGCTGCGGCTGAGCTGCACCAAGATGCGGCGGCCCTTGAACTCGGAGCCGTCGAGGGCGCGGATGGCGGCGCGGGCGTCGTCCTCCCTCTCCATGTGCACGAAGGCGTAGTCCTTGACGATGTCGCACTCGGCCACGGGCCCGAACTCCTCGAACTTGGCGCGCAGCTCCACGTTGGTGCAGTCGGGCGTCACATTGCCCACGTACATCTTGGTGGTGCTGCTACACTGGCCGCCGAGCATCAGCATTGAGGAGGAGCAGTTGGAGGAGCCGCCCCGCTGCTGACCGCGGCCGTGGGACGGCTCCACGTCCAGGGCCGCGCCGTGCAGGCGGTGGCCGCGCAGCGCCACGATGGCCCGCTCCGCGTCCCCCGGGGCCGACATGTGCACGAAGGCGAAGTCCTTGATCTTCTCGCACTCGGTGACCTCCCCATGCTGCTCGAACAGCTCCTGGATCTCGCGCTTGGTCGCCTGGAAGGGCACGTTACCCACGAAGATCTTCATGGTGGATGAGGGGGCAACCGGGGACGAGATGGTGATGCCGATGCGTGTCGATGCTGCTGCTCTACACTCTACCGCTGCTTCTCTTAACGACTGCTGATACCACTGCTGCTATTGCTAACCCCGACTCCTGTTGCCGATGCTTTGGTCTTCCCCGTTTCTCCCGTCCCTGCTGCTTCGCCTCTTGCTGCTTCTTCTCCCTCCGCTCCCGTCACTTTCCTGCCTCCCCGCGCTCCTCGTGACGCCGCTTTTCTTTTGCTCCCCGCTCCTCCCTCTCTCCTCGTGTCCCGCTGCTCCCTGTGCTCGTGTCACTCTCCTCTCCCCTGCGTCTCCTCTCCCCTGCGTCTCCTCTCCCTGCGTCTCCTCTCCCTGCCGCCGCCTCCGCCGTCGTCTCTCGCTCTCTGCTTCTCGCCGCGGGGGCGACCCTAAGATGGCAGCCGAGCCCGGACACGAGGGACCGCGGCGATTTGCGCCCGGCGTGGGCACGTGTCGGGGACCGCGCCGAACTGTCGGTGGCAGGCGCGCGCCCCGAGGGGCAGTGGCGAAAATCCGCCGGCACCCGTTCGCGAGTTGAGGGACCGCTACGAATGTGAATGCAACGCGCGAGACGCTGTCACGAATGAGATGACGAGCTACAGTAACACCTGGTTCTGCTATTGCTGCGTTGGCAGTGGGGGACACGCACAAGCAACGCAGCACGCTCGTCAACAACACCGTGGCCTCAGAAGGAATATATATGCTAGTTGGTGACGTTTCGGGCAATGGTCCTTGTGCATAGCGCATGCTAGAGCATTCAGTGTCACAGTATGGTTGACACAATGGAATTGCCAACCCTCGACCTCTAAACTGCCGTTCATCCTTGAGCACGTGGTATGAAGGAGGGCAATTCCCCGACACGCGTCGCTCAGACAAAATCAGAAGTTTTATATCGACTGGAGGAATCCGATGAGATGTGAAGCTCTTTTGTACAGGTGACCAGTAGAACATCAGCCAAAGAAATCCGGCGTGGGTTTAATGCACGAACACAACAAATCAAATACCCTCGCAGCCACCGCCCTCGCGAGCACCACGGCACGGCGTCAGAACCCAGTCAGCCCTGACAGGCCAACACGCACAGCGAACGCGGGAGTTTCGTCTCGAGTCAAAGTATACACACAGTAAGCTTGCACATGGTGGCCCAACGTTGAGGCAACGTTGCGTGTTTACTGGGTACATGTAACACTAAAACAGGGCTTCTGCCTCAGGGGACGATATAGTCGTGGCGTTTAACAACACGATGCTGGACAATTATTTGCTCCAGGAAAGAAGCCTCAAGAGCCTCGAGACTCATTGTGAGCTGGGAACTGGACCGTGATGTTTGGCAAATTCCTTTTGAAGAGCCTCTTGCTTTGTTTGGGATAAAACGGGAGCAGCATTCGGAGAGAAGCCACCAAACTTGTGGTGCGGCGCTCGCTCCCGCTCAGAGGAAACTACTCGCATGTGAGAGGAACCACGGACAAGCAGGAAGACCGGGTGGCGAACAGGTGGCAATAGTTGCCCAAGTTCTGTCGTCCCCTGGAAATGAAGGTGTTATCTGCCAATGAATGTGGCAGGAAACCGGAGCGCCCGGAGAAAATCCACGCATGTGAGCGGGCAACACTCTATCCTGCTGCACCGCCGCCGTCTCCGGCTGAGCCAGGGTGTGGTACCTCGACGCCCAAAGGGAGGGAGTTTCACAACATTTGTGCGATCCGCCAACCCCCATCTCCAGTGTGCTAGCTTACAGGCGTGCTGTAGCCACCACCGCCACATGCGAGGGCGTAACACTCGGAGTAAGGCACAGATTCCATAATTCTCCCGCAGCATTTAAAAAAAAATCGCCAGGAGACTTGCCAGCCACATCGAACGTCAATGGCGAGCAATAGCAGAACCGGTCCTGGGCATCCCCGAGACCAACTCATCCTTAAATCAGTGCCCGGTGTGGTGTGTAAACATCACCACTTGGGAGACAAAAGCAGCTGAGTGTAGTGCTGGCCGTCACACCACCCCCTCGTGTATTGTGCAGGCCTTAATAACGGCTCCTCGCCTACAGCACTTGCCCTGAGAGTCTGTAGAAGGCGACACGGGGGGAGCATCGTCTTTTTACTTTTGGTAAACCTACCAAGCGCTCGCGTGTAACAGACCTCGCTCAATCCCCGTACTGCGTGGATCTCTGCGGCTCGTGTCCTTACACCGTGCGCCCGTCACACCGAGAGTCGCACGACCGAACGAGAGCGCACGACAGTAGTCTGAGAGGACGAAGGGAGTCTGAGAGCGCGACCGGAGGCCCCGCAGGCCAAGGGCCTACGACGGCTGCCGGCCCAGCAGCCTCTCGATGGCGGCGCCCAGGTTCCCGCCGCTGGCGACGAGCGCCTGCACGTTGGCGTCGCGGTTCGTAAAGCCCATGGCTCCCAGCTGATCCAGCTGCTGCTGCAGCCGCGGAGGCTCAGGGCCTGGAGCCTGCGGAAGCGACAGACACGGGAGGGGGGGGGGGTGCGCTCACCAATAACTCACCCACACGTTCACAAACACATGGACGCCTAGTCAACACACGGCGTGCATTCACCACGCTTAGCAACATACGGGGTATGCTCACGACCACCACGATTACCAACATGCTGCACACAGTAACCAATCTAAAATGACTCCAAGAGCTGTGTTTATGACCGGGCAGGTGCGGCACGGCCTTCACCCAAGGGCTGTGGATCGTGAGTAGCGTCCATTGTTAGGGACCACACTGGAACCAGTCGCGTCTCTCTCAAGGGAGACCCGGGGAGGGGGGGGTTTGGATGCAGGAAATCTGCAAATTCCAAATCCATAAACAAAACAAGACGGGAAATAAAATTTGACAATAACATTTAAACAATACATAAAAGTTCATTATTATGCGATATATACACATGTGGGCCCAAATTTGAACATTGAGAGTTTGGCAAAAATAAATCTGGCGGTGTTACCTGCAGCCCTGCGGTGAGCACCATGTGCTGCAGCAGTTGCTGCTGGGGACAACCTGAGGGGGTGTCCGACCCAGTGGGGGCAGCGGGGGCAGCAGGGGCAGCGGGCATCTGTGGGCCAAACGTCCCGAACAGACCCCCAGGAAGCAGGCTGGAGGAGAGAGTACGACACACAGGGACACAGATTCATTCGCCACGGCACCAGCGGCGTCACTCTGAGAGCACGCACCCAACTCTGGCCTCTCACGGATATCACCTCTGTCACTCGTGACCAGGGAGTGGTGAGGGTGGCAAGGGTGGTGGTGGTGAAGGCGCGTGGTCGAGTGAGTCACGCGAGCCGTAGACTCTGTCTCTCTCTGGCTCTCACCCGTATGCGGGCACCATTCCCGCGCCGTGGCTGTTGAGGGTCTGCAGGCCGTGCTGAATCTGCATGAGCGCCTGGAGCGTGTGCGGGTTCGACAGTGAGCTCAGCAGCTCGGGGTTCTGCAGCTGGGTCCGCGGTGGGGGGAGAAGGACAAGTGTTAAATTGCACCTAGCTTGGTACGATGGCTGTTGGGCAAGATCAAGATGGCATCGTGGACAAAGCCGTTGATGCCAACACCACACCTAATTGTCAAGGCTCCTACCCTCCGCCAGATCCTGCAGCCGCTGCACAGGAGACGCACAGAGTTTGCCGTGAATCTTCCACCATCTGCTCTTGGCCTTCTCTTCCCCTTGGTCGCCGGACTCGTGTTGTTATTGTCCACGTGCGTACATGGCTCATGCACTCATAACTCCTTGTAACGCGCCACCACCGCAGGTATATGCTCTTGAAGAGAACGACTTAAAGGCGAGAGGGGGAACCACAGACATACGGTGAGCCGGTGCCAAATTCCCCTGCACGCTCTGGGGTCCTCTATATACCTGTGTGTGTAGTGAGTCTAGTTGGGGATGTGTAGCTAGTGTGTATATGGGGTGTGCGTATTTGTGGGGAGCAGTGGCGCGGTGGGGTTTGCATTGCGCGACAAACCCCGTGACCCGAGTTTGATTCCTGGCTATGGCTAACATGAGTGCTTAGTTCGTCAACCGGTCCTGAGCCTCTCTGACTGACTCGGCATGAGTACAGGGTCTAAACGCTGGCGCTTCGGAGACAAAGGCAGCCAGGTGGGATGCTGATCCCACCAGCCCCATTTAGTGCCGTTCCTGTTGTAATTGGTGCTCTCTTAAAGCACTGGCCCCCAGCAATCTGTGCAGGATTGTAGAATAGGGATCATTGCCTTTGTAGTGAATGTGTGCGTACGGGGTGCGTGTAGACAGTGTGTGCAGCGAGTGTATTTAGAGAATGTGTGTATGTATTGGGTGTGTGTTGCGATGTGTATAGCCAGTGTGTGTAGTGAGTGTGTAGCGAGTGTATTTAGAGAATGTGTGTATGTATTGGGTGTGTGTTGCGATGTGTATAGCCAGTGTGTGTAGTGAGTGTGTAGCGAGTGTATTTAGAGAATGTGTGTATGTATTGGGTGTATGTTGCGATGTGTATAGCCAGTGTGTGTAGTGAGTGTGTAGCGAGTGTGTGTATGTATGCCGTGTGTGTAGCGAGTATCTTTAGAGAATGTGTATTGGGTGTATGTATAGTGTGTGTAACCAGAGTGTGTAGCAGGTGTGTGTAGCCAGAGTGTGTAGAAGGTGTGTATTTAGAGAGTGTGTGTGTGTGTGTATGGGGTGTGTGTAGCCAGAGTGTGTAGCGGGTGTGCCCACCACAGTGCACCGTCGACTTTCCGAGGCCGGGAGCCCGTGTGTGGGCTGCGGGGCGCATGCCTCACCTGCTGCAGGAAAAGCGGGAGCTGCATCCTCAGCTGCTCCTGCAGGTGGGCGTTCCCAGCGATTAGCGGGTTGTTCAGAATAATCTGTAACCGATCAACACCGACAAGGGCACAGCATGAGTGCGTGCGTGTGTACCAAGCCTCGCGCAGCGATGTAGTGACATCACCGCTACACCCACCCCACGGTTATTTTGTGTGTGGGAGTATCTGTGCGCGAGTGCTTGTGTGTATACGCAAGCGTGTCTGTGTGTGTACGTACAGAAGGCAGTAACCGTGCGGTGTTATGTGTGTATGCATGTGCGCTCGCGAGTGTGAGCGTACGTATTGGTGTCCGTGTGTCTGTGTGTGGTTCGAGCCGCACCTGTGACGCGAGCTCGGGGTTCTGCGCCAGGATGTGCATGGTGCTGCGCACGTAAGGGGCCGACAGCAAACTCTGCAGCAGCTGCGGACTCTCCACCACCTGCTGCATCACCCCCTGCATCGCTACAGGGCCCACACATGGCGGATAGTTCACTGTGGCTTTTCATTGAACACAAAGCTTCAGGCCCATTTGAAGCAACCGGACACACGTGGCCTTTGTATTGAGGCTCATGTGGCACAACTCCAAACACGTCCAATAGAGTACGCAACTCAGAGACATCACAAGGACTGTTAATAAAGGTGCATTCGGTTGGGCCAGGTCGGGACTAACG